GTTTGAATCAAATACAGACCGCTTTCAGCTTTCCTCATAATGTTACCCTTTGATCGTCAGGGCCTGAAGATCGTCCATGGAAAGCTCCGGAAGGCTGGGTTACACTCTATGAGGCTTGGTTCAGCCTCTGCCATCTTTGGATTCCTTTACCGAGATTGTTGATAGACTATGTCGATAGGCGGGGTATTGCGTTTTCGTAGATCCTTCCAGCAGGAATTTGTTTTATGGTCGCGGCTCTCGTTTTGGGGATGAGGTCGGGGTGAATATAGATTGGCGCTTCTTCGAGGAGATGATAACTGTTCAGAAAAACAAATCGATTCCAGGCACTTATACGATCAAAGCTAAAAAGAATTGCTCTCTCATCTACCCCGTCAATAAGACACCTGATTGGGAGGCTTCCTTCTTCTACGAAAAGGTCAACGAGGCATTAGTTGTCCACACGACCAGAAACTTTAGAAACGAGTGGAGCAGAAGCATTGGTAGATCGTCAGTTCGATCAAACCTTTTGTTTATCTTCATTTCCTACTTCTAACAATTCACATTTTTTTGTAGATCGGAATCTTAATCTCGGCGCGTACACAGAGAATTATTTTGAGGACCTCGAAAAGCTTATATCTTTCGGGATTCAGAACTGGCCTGATATACATCACCAGAAAGTTCAAGCCGCTATCACCCGCATACAAACGGTGGGTATATTGCTGTCAATGTTTCCTCTTAAATCTTTTTACGTCGATATAATAATCATTTGGTAGCTAGCTGGAGAAAAGAAAATCGCCATACAGGGAGATCGATAGAAATGGCTCCAGTTCAGGTTAACGCACCCAGCCTCGCTGCAAGTATCAAGGCTAACCGCAAAAACCAATAGCCGTCTGCCTCTCTACCAGAACGTTTGGACCAAACAACAGTGGCTCAGGAAATTGAGGAAGTCGTTTTTCAAAGCGATGAGAATCTCGCTGTGATCATCGAAGGCGAGGATGAGGCTCACGTTTCAGAACGCAACGCTGAGATCGAAACGGATAATCAAGGGGATGCTCGCCAGACTAGCGAGGAGATTGATGAGGCTACGAGGTCGGCGAGGAGAGAAGAGAAGAAACAGAAGAAGAAAGAAAACAAGAAGAAGGAAAAAGAAGAAGCCGAAGCTGCTCGCCTTGCGCAGCAGGTAGAGAATAAAGCCGCCAAAGCCAAGGCGAAAGGAAAGAGGAAAAGGTGATCTGCTGAAGTGGCGGATGATGGTGATCAAGTCAATCGCGATGAAGCCAGAAAAAGGGCGAAGATCGCTCCCTCCGACAGCGATAAGGTCAAGGAGATCGACTAGAGTTTTTTGTTTGAATACCCAAAGTCGGGAGAGCCTTTTTTCAACAAAATCAACAAATGCGCCGAGCTCATCGGGCTGATAAGGGGATCAACTGCCGAGGTTCCCGCTAGCGAAGATGGGGTCTTCAAGGACATGGCGTGCTTTGCTTTCAAGGTACAGTGAAAATCTTAAGTTAGAATTTGTGTTCTGATTCGGTTGTTTGCGAGCTTGATCTTCAAAGTTTTCCTTTGTCTTGCCTAGTTCATCGCGAGTTGCAATCGCGTGAGGGGCCAGAATACTCGCATGCTTCGAGTCGCTGCTATGAAGTTGCAGAATGCCCAGACTGCTGGCCAAAAAGCTGTTGCTGAACGCAATGCCACGCTCGCTCAGCGAAAAGTTTCCAAAGATAACTGGCCAACCATAAAGCAACGGGCGGTGTAGTTGGATGTGGGTGTGAAGGAACTGACCGAGAAGATCGAGGAGATGAAGTTGGAGAATCAAGACATGATCAAGAATCTTCAATTGGTTAACGAGGCGAAGATCCAAGCTGAGAAGTTAATTGCCACCGAGGTTTCTCGTGTGAAGCGACATGCCAAGGAGAAAATTGAAGCTGAGACCACTCGAATCTGGATGGATGCGGAGGCCAAGTTCTCAGGTTACATCGATCAGCTAAGGACTTACGTCGCTGAGCAGGAGGCAATCGAGAAGGTGAGACTTGATCTTGTTCAGGCTCGAGGTACTCTGGAGTGCATGATGGAGGCTGAATTGAGGAACAAGCTAGAAGCGACTCAACGTGAATGCGAGTTGAGGCTTGAAAACCTCAGCCTCACTGATCTTGAGGAAGGTGACTTGCCACCACCGTTTCCTGAGACTCCGAGTGGCGGCTCAGATCACGACGAGGCTGATAATCAAAAAGACCTCAAGGATGGTACCCAGCCTAAGGAGTAGATCGTCTCTTCTCATTTTCGTTGTTATTGCACTTTTCTTTCCTTGTCCTTTGATTTTTTCCCCTTTTTTTTCTATCTCGCCTTGGTTGCTTGTGTTGTTTCATCTCGTTTGTAATGTTTCCCCTTTATTTTATTAATGAAGACTATTCCTTTAAGTAATGACTTGTTCGATGATTTGTTGCTAAACAGTCACGAGGTAAAAGGTTGATGTATTCTGTTTTCTTTTACGAGTATGGGCTCGGTTCAATAGGATTATAGGTGTGAGGTAAGAACTCGGCTTATACTGTTTTGCTCTTTAAATTGTATCTGAATAGTGAAGATGTCTTTGACGTATTTATTCGGGCGATGTAACAGAAATGATAGTGGACGCATATGGCTCATCCAGTAAAGGTCAATTCTTTTCTAACTTGAATATTTGGTAACTGGAACTTTGTTTGTGTTAAATGCGTTAGGTAACTGGCTAGGTTGTTTTAGTTAGCTTTATGACTGTTATTGTTTATCAATGCTTGATATGACATGATAGGTTTAGGTAGTGTTTTAAATGGTTGTTAAAACCTGTTCGCAAATGTTTACAACTTTTACGTTAACTTGAAAACTCAAATTAAAAGACTTCCAACTACTATTTTTTTTTTAACATAAAAGACACTTAGCCATAAAGACCATGAAAAGACTGTCAACCATAATTTAAAAGACACTCAACCATAAATTAAAAACCACTAAACTCATTCACTATCTTTCACTTTCTTCTCGGGTTCCATTCTCTTTATCTCTCGTTTCTCTGTTCAGTTTCTTCTCGGGTTCCATTATCTTCAACTCTCTTCTCTCTTTCTAAACCCTTGTTTTCTCTTTAAGTCACAGTCCTCTTCTCCTCCTTTAACTACTCTTTTAACTTTTTCCACTCGTTCCAGTCTTTATGGCTTCTCAGACCTCTTTTACACAGTCCGATGGGTTTGTAAACCTACTAACCAGTCAGTTAAACCCTGACTGTTACTCGCCGTCCATAGAAATAGGATCATCTGAGATTTACACAAGGATCTGATGATCCTACTGATGGTGGAATGAAGAGGAAAGTCTGGCCCCGAAGGAAGACCTCGCCCTCATCAGTGCGTGGCTCAACACCAGTAAGGACCCGATTGTGAGCAACGAACAGCGAGCTGGTGCTTTCTGGAAGCGTATTCAGTTGTATTACAACAACAGCGAGGATATAGTTGGAATGTCAAGGAGGGAGTGGCCTCAAAGTAAACAAAGGTGGGGTAGGATCAATGACCAGGTATGTAAATTCGTGGGATCATACGCGGCTGCGCAGAAGGAGAAAAGAAGCGGTCAGAATGAAAACGACGTTATGAAGCTTGCGCATGAGATCTTCTTCAATGACTACTCTATCAAGTTTGCTTTGGAACATGCCTGGAGAGAGTTGAGGTTTGACCAGAAATGGTGCACAAGTAGCAAAGTCCAGGATGGTGCGTCGACCAAAAGAAGAAAGGTTGATGACTCGGCTCAGTCATCAACTTCCATACCTACAAGCGAGAATGAAGAAGTTGTCGAGGTTCGTCCACCTGGAGTCAAGGCTGCAAAGAAGTCATCACGTGTTAAACCCGAGAACAAGGACATGAAGGAGTTTAGTTCCATGTGGGAAATGAAACAAAAAGACCTAGAGTTGAAAGACAAGATTAGGGACAAGAGGATTCTTGAGACTATTTTGGCTAAGACTGAACCACTCACTGAGATTGAAATGGCATTAAAAAACAAGCTAATTTGTGCGATGTATGATCTTTAGGGTTTAGGCTCTCTGATATTTGCTTTGTGTTAGTCTTTTTTCAATGTTATTGCTTAATCCGGTTGTATGATATTTAGTTTAAGAACTTTTATTTGCTATGGGCCATCGGGTTCTATATGTATGAACTTTGTTACACATTTCTTTATGAACTTTGGGTTCAGTTTTGGTACTTTGTTCAACTTTTGGTGTCTATTAACTTTGTTAAACTATTGAGTTTAGGGTTTAGAACTATGTGTTGCTTTGTCATTCAATGGCTGTCACAGGATTATATCTCTAACTCTCCTTGCTTTTATTTTTTGCAGGTAGTGTCAGATCAATTTGGCCACTTCATGTCGGTTATTGATCCGTGACCACATGCGCCAATATTGGAGGGGCCATATAGCTTTTGTCTTCCTCGTTTTCTAACCGCATATTTATGTTGTAATGCAGACCATATGTTCGAACTATCATTTGGCCACATCTTTGAACTTATTCCGTGTATTTATATGACAGAGGGCAGACCATATGTTATTCATACTTGTAAACTTCATTCTATCTCATCTTGGTATCAAAGTGTTTTACTTTCTCATCTTGCAATCGAAGTCTATTTCTTATCTTCGTATCAAAGTGTTTACTTTCTCATCTTGGTATCAAACCGCCACTACTTTTTTCAAACACAAACCTCTTAAACCTCATTTCTTTTCACCAACTTTTCATCACTTTATCTCTTATCTCACACTCTAAAACACAAAAATGGCAGCTTCTTCAAGCAATGGATTTGATGATAAAGCTGATGATGCATTAGATGATGCATTTGATGATGCATTTGATCAGAAGTTTGAGGATATGTTTTATTCTATAGTTAATCAACATGAAGAAAAAAAAAGAAAAAAAAAAAGCATTCATTGAGAGACAGCGGGAAGAGGGTCACAACTGCTTATGGAACGATTATTTCAGCGACGAAGCAACCTATCCGCCACATACATTATGACGCCGTTTTAGAATGAACAAGGATTTGTTTCTGCGTATTGTTCACCGCCTCTCCTATGAAGTTCCGTATTTTCAACAAAGAAGAAATGCTATCGGGAGATTAGGTCTGTCTGCTCTACAAAAGTGTACGGCGGCAATTCGTATGATGGCATATGGTACAGCAGCTGATGCAGTTGACGAATATCTCCGGCTCGGAACTAGTACAGCATTGTTATGCTTTAGGAATTTCACTGAGGAAATAATATCCTTATTTGGAGATGAGTATCTAAGAAGACTTACCCCTGATAATCTTGAACGCTTACTAAACCAAGGAGAGGAACGGGGATTTCCCGGGATGATTGGAAGCATCGATTGTATGCATTGGGAGTGGAAGAATTGCCCAACCGCATGGAGAGGTCAATATACACGCGGATCAGGAAAATTTGACTTTCGTTTTAGAGGCAGTAACATCACAAGATCTTTGGATATGGCACGCATTTTTGGACCTCCAGGTACATTAAATGATGTTAACGTTCTTGATCGATCACCAGTTTTTGATGACATCTTGCAAGGTTGAGCTCCAAAAGTGAGATACTGGGTAAACGGTAACGAGTATCGTTTGTCATATTATCTCACAGACGGCATTTATCCGAAATGGGCTACATTTATACAATCAATTCATCTTCTTGAAGGAGAAAAAAATAGCAAATTTGCAACTAAACAAGAATCCGTCCGAAAAGATGTGGAGCGGGCTTTTGGCGTGCTGCAAGCTAGATTCGCAATTATAAAAAATCCCGCTCTTTTTTGGGATAAAGAAAAAATTGGGAAGATTATGCGGGTTTCTATCATATTACACAATATGATAGTAAAAAACGAACGATATAGCTACACTCTAGCCAATATTGAACAATTCCAACAAGAAGATGGAAGCAGCAATTCGCATGTGGATAGGACGTATTCTACACGTATGCCTACAAATGTCTCAAATTTGATGATGGCAAAACGAAACGAACTCCGTGACAGACAGATACATGAACGACTGAAAGCGGATTTAATCGAAAATATCTGGAATAAACTTGGTTAACTATTTTTATATTATAAATATTGTATGTTTTTAATTTTCTTGTATTATTTTGTGTTTTTTATATTGTATCTTTTAAGATTATGGGTAATGAATTATTTTTTTAATTATAATAATTGTGTTAAAAATAAAAAATAAAAAAATTAATATTTTTAATTCGGGATGAACCCTGAAATGGGGTTCACTACTGGACCCCTAATTTTACCCGAAGTTCGTCCCACACAATACAAACCAAAAATATTATTTTAAAATTCGGATGAACCCCATGGTGAGGTTCACTATTGGACCTGTTATTAGACCCAATAATAAAACTACTCAGACATAATAAACGAAATCAAAAACATAGTATTAAAAAGTATAATAGAAACCGAAATTGAAAAAGAAAGAACAAGGGTTCAAGAGACAGATCTCTCTCTTCCTAAAACCTAAAAACAAAGCTTAAAGTAAAATTTCTGTAAAGTATTTTGTCTCTCTTCTTCCTCTCTCAAAATCGACCTAAATGACATGTATTTATAGTCTACAATACTCTCTGGTGTCTAGGGTTCCGGAATTGAGGCTGCAAAAATGATACGGGCTTCAGAAATGGGCCTTCAAAGTCGGAGTTAGCTGGCCACGGTCGGGATGGGCGGGACCGCGGGAAATGGGTGGCTGGCCGCGGTCGCGGTGGTTGTGACCGCGGGGATTGGTTTGTTGCCCGCGGGTGGAAACGCTTGCCGTCTGGTTTACGGGACATCTTGTTCTTCGTGTATCTTTTGATTGAACCATTGGATTGCCAAGCTGTAAAGTGTGCTGGAAAGCTGATACTTCCATCTTTATGATCTCCAAATTTGAGCTGGATCAGACGGTGAGAAGGCCTTCAATCGGGTGTGAACTTCTGACGGTTTGACTCTGAGCTGAAATCTGGTTTTCTATCCATTTTGTCAAGCTTTTCCCAAAGTTACCTGAAAAGAGTCTTGGAACTACAAATACTAGAAAAACGTAATAAAAGTACTTAAAAGAATCTAAAAACATAGAAAAAGTATTTCAAAACGATCCATAAAAGTGGTCAAAATACGGTGTTATCAACTCCCCCAGACTTAAACCTTTGTTTGTCCTCAAACAAAACAAAAGCCTAAACTGGTTAAGTGAAAACAAAAATAGGAAATGCACAAATCTCAGAGACATGAACTCCTAAACTAGGACCAAAGATCGTGCATCAATCCACAACTTAGTCTAGAAATTCTCACCAATACACAAAAGATATTAGTCCACTTTTTCCGTCATGCAAAACTTAAACAATCTAAATCTTGATTCCAGTCAACTAGCTCTCTTCATTCATTAGTTCAATAGTGAGTTCTCATTAAAGACATCATCCAAGGTAGACGGCGTTTGGCATTAAAAGGCTGTTTAAGTGGTGGAATTAAGTATTTTGGGTTACCTGATGAATCTGGAGGATGCAAGATAATATGCAAAACCGCAAGAGAGATAAGGACCTGTTGATGACCGCAATTTTCAGTCACTTCTTCTTGCCAAATGTTGTTGCATAATGCTTCCTCCTTTGTTGTAAACAGCTATTCCCCCAGACTTAGATTCTTTCCGAGAATCAGAAAATGATCTCCAAAACTCCATAAAATCGAACTACAGTTGCCTTGGGACTTAAAATTCGACCTCTCTAGACTCTCTAAGGCTTTTATTTCCTTTCTTTTCTTATTTTCGGATTTTTTTTTTTTTTTGAAAAAGAAATACCTTTTGGCCAAAGAGAACTTACCTGGATCCGGGATGCTGGTGGAGATGAACCGGATTCATTCGAAGAGGTTTGGGAAGGTGATAGGTGGTGACGAAGGTGGTGGGAAGTGATGAATGAGGTGGAGTGGGGATTGGTGAGGTGGAATGAGGTGAAGTGGGTGGTTTGGGGTCGGGTTTGATCTCAACGACCATTTGCCGCGGTCAGGAGCCACGCAACCGCAGCGAACCGGTGCTCGGCCACGGTCAGAAAGACGCGGCCGCGGTCGATTATGCGTTTCCCGCAGTCAGAACATCTGCGACCACGGGGGCTTATATCACAGCATGTTCCTGCTTCTCCTTGGTTTCTGCTGGGCCGAGCAGTCAGGGACCATCCTTCTTTTTGGTTTTTCTGATTTTTTTATTTTTATATTTTGTTTTTTTTTGTTTTATAAGAAACACCTGAAATTAAGAAAAAGAAAAAGATCAATAGAAAAAGTTAGAAAAATCCTAAAGAAAACAATACCTAAATGGGTTGCCTCCCATTAAGCACTTCTGTTTTAAGTCGTTTAGCTCGACTTTTGGTGTTGGACGTAGCTTAATCCAATGAAGAAGACATTGTCCTGAGACAAGTCTTTTTCGACATCTCCTTGCTTTGCCTAGCAGGTTCTTTGTCACTCCAAAGTTCTTCTTCAAATTCTTCTGTTGCATAACGTTTTCGTGCTTTGCTGTTGTATGGGACAGCTTCTGTGAAGACATCTTTGTCGATATTAGCAAATGAAATCCTCCGGTTTGGCCAGTCCATTATAGCTCCGGAAGTTGCTAGAAAAGACCATCCGAGAATCACTGGATATATTGCATCTCGCGTCTCGACAATGTAGAAGTCGACAGGCACTATGCAATCTCCTATTCTCAAAGGAATTTCATGAGCTATTCCTTGAGGTGTTGCATTGGAATCATCAGCTAGACTAATCTTTTCTCTAGTCCTGGGCAGGTGTTTAATGCCAAGTCTCAAAGAAATTGCCTTGGACATCATGTTAAGACCAGCTCCAGAATCACAAAGCACGTTTTTAAACATTTCTCCTCTAATAGAACAAGAGATAAGAAACTGACCTACACCTTCGATTTTGTGAAGTGTTCGAACAGGTTTACCTCTTCTGGCATGATTGAACAAGTCTTCTATCTCAGGGATTGATTCCTTGCTCTCACAGAAATAATGGCCTATCATGAAGTCCTTGCAAGCTCTGGCAAAGGTGATTCTTTCAAGCAAATTTCGGACTACATCATTGAATTCGTCGAGCTTTTCTTTGCTGATTTTGTTGGTGTAGTGGCAGCAGTCTTCAGGCTTTTGAAGGTGGATTGAATAGATTGCAGCATCAGATGATGTTCTGGGAAAATTCAGACGTCTGGCCCTCCCAAAATAGGTTCTGATATCCTCCATTGTCTCCTTGCTGTACCTAAAGAAAACTTGCAAACAACCAAGATGCCATATATCATCGAAACCTGTGTAAAGAGGGATCGATTTCACAAACTTGTTGAATTCAATGAGTCTTTCCCTGGAGATTGGTGCTCCTAATTCCATCATTTTGTCTAGATTGCCTCCATCTATGAACAGACGATAGTCTTCATCTTCGAGGTATTGCCCTTCATATTCATCCTTATATGCTAAAACTATGTTGCAGGGAAGTACCTCATTTTCTTCTTGAGATGTTTTGGAGTTGATGGCGTACACTGTTTGCTCATGAAAAGGAGTTTTGACCGTCCCAGCAGATGTATCAAATGAACATTGACCTGTAAGAATAGAAAAAGGCTGAAACGAATCTGACCGACTATTTGCCGCGGGTGGAGGCTGCACGACCGCGGGTGGGGAGTGTTTTGCCGCGGGTAGGAGGCTCACGACCGCAGCTGGAGGGTTGTTGGCCGCGGTCGCAGGAGTTGCGACCGCGGGAGAGAGACTCTGAGATGGTTCAGCTGTTTCATCTTCTCTTTTGCCATCTAAACTGATTTCTGGATCTTCCAACTCTGTTTCCTCTTCTTTTAGGTCAAGATCTTTGATGGGAAGCGTCGAACCATTCGTTTCACGTCCTTGCATAAGCTTTTCGACCTTCTCTTCGACTTCATCAAGGGCATAGACTACTTTGTCCACGGTTGAGTCGATTTCCTCTGCTTTGTCTTGAACCTTGTGTACTCCATCCCAAATCTCTTCCACGTAGGAGTAGGTTTGGTTGTTATGGTCGCTAATAGTTTCTTCTGATTCATCGAACTTGACCTCTAAGGTGCGGATGTTTCCACTGGCTTTGCGAATACTAACTTCATTCTCTCCAACTCGTCCTTCGACTGCTTCCATCCTCTCCTTGATAGTCTCAGCATCTTTTTTTGCTTGAGTCTCGATGGTTTTAACTTGAGCAGAAAGATCTTCAAGCTTGTTGTTAAAGTGAGTTGACATGTTGTCAATTGTCTCGTGAAGGACGGCTCTTGATGTTGCTTGAGCGGCGATTAAGTGCATGACCACCGTCTCTAGTCGACTCAATCGATGACTGAGCTGGACGTTTTCATCTTGGTGAGGCAGACGACGAACATGATGTCTAGGGTTTGCCATTGGAGGTACGTAGGGCTCGTTCTGGAACATTCTGTAGTCTTCGGTTCAAAATTTCTTCGTAGAGATCGCGTAAGTACTGCTTCTCTCTGTGTCTGGCTTGAGGAGTGTTGTAAAAACCTTCCTCATAGTGTGAATTTCGATTTATAGGATCCATATCTTCTGAAATGGAAACAAAATAACCAAAAAATGGAAATAT